CAAACAGTGCCTCCCATGCTGCCTTTCAGCTGGGCACTCCAGCTGCTCAGACCAGAAAGTTACAGCCACAGCATTGGAGTGCCATCACTCTGTTTAATCAACTTTTCCCATAAGTCCTGAATATGAACATTTTATTTAAGATTACTCCATTTATGGCTAAAATTAGTAATTCCTTTATAGTGCTCCAGATCACCAATGATTCCTGCTCACACCTCCAAGATGACAGCTACAGCAGCCTCTTGCTCTTGAAAATGTGTCAGAAATCACAAACTGGCACAAAAAAAAAATTGTAGGAACAATCCCCGTGGTGGAAATGGGCCTTCTGAAGGGAAAACTCTTAGCAGTACTGGTTTTCCTCCTTTGGAAAAAAAAGCCACATTTGCCCAAAGCAAAATGTTGAGCAGGAAAATAACTTCGGTGGAAGTGGTTTTTTTTTTTAAAAAATCATATTGCTTATAATGGAAGAATTTCAAAACACCTGTATGTTTATTCTAATGACTTGTCTCTAGTGGGTTTTCAGGTCTACCCTTCCTAACACCTTCTCCAATAAAGCCAAAGGAAATAAATGCAAGGTACACAAATCCACATAAGGGAAATAACCAACTCTTCTCTTTGGTACAGGTGAGTACCAAGATTCCTGGTGCCAGCAGAGCCCCCAGCATGGCTTGGCACCACAGGATCCCAGGAGAGATGGAAATAATTAATGCAAAACCCTGCAGCGACCCTGGAGTGCTGCAGAGCAGCAGCTTCCCCAGCCTTGGTATCCCTGAGCTCCTTCTGCACAGCTCAGCAGGCACCTTTCCCTAATAAGCCTGGAAAAGGCAATAATGTTTTGTTTTCCCTGGACAACGCTTAGAGAAAAGATAAAGAGCTCCAAGTTAGTATCTTGTTTAAAGGTCAGAGAGAAATAAAAAAATCTACTTTCCTAGGTGGAAAAACCTCCTAGATTTCCACTGGCACACAGCCCACTCCTGGATATAATCCTGACCCACCCACGCTGAAGCCAATGCGATTGTGGTGATCCCTTCTTTCCTGAAGGCAGCTCTTTTACTGGATCCAGCTGACCTGCTTTGACATCCATCTTCACTTGCAGGACTTGCCCTGGGAAGCTGAACCTGAAATTCTCTCAAAGTAAGGAGAACAATCTCCCACTGCTCACTTCACTGAGCCTGGAGCTCATGTAAACTGAGCTTTCCCAACCCTCTGCCCTCCCTGCCTTACAAACCTGTGGAGTGCAGGATTTGCTCCCTTTGGAGGAGGGTTTCCAAGTAACACCAGAATTTTTCACCTGTTCCAGCCCTTCTGTCCCTCATGAACAATGATCATCTCCCCATCCAATTTTGATGGAAGTTAGTAAGTAAAAGAGACAGCCCTCTCTGCTTCCACCAGTGGGAATAATACTGCCAGAGGGGAATCCACAGGTATTTTTCTTCACAGCAAAAGAATCTCCTTTTTTTCTCCTCTTAGGACCTTCGGCTGAGATGCTGCAATGCTATAAAAGGTTATTTATGGTTAAGAGAGAAGAAAAACAAAACACAAGAGTCAACAACCCGAAGAAACATCCTTACACTTGGCTACACGAGGTGTGAAACATGGAGCACATGAGAGTTCTGCAGGAGCGCCCCGAGGGGGACAAATGCACTTCTGAGCCACGTGATGTTCCTGTCATTGTTCTGACCACAGGCTGGGACAGGTCATGGTTTGGGGTGGAAGGGACCTTCATGATCATCTTCTTCCACTCCTTGCCATGGACAAGGACACCTTCCACTAGCCCAGGTTGCTCCAAGCCCTGTCCAACCTGGCCTTGGACACTTCCAGGGATGGGGCAGCCACAGCTTCTCTGGGCAACCTGTGCCAGGGCCTCACCACCCTCACAGGGAACAATTTCTTCCCAATATCCCACCTAACCCTGCCCTCTGGCAGTGGGAAGCCCTTCTCCCTTGTCCTGTCCCTCCAGGCCCTTGTCCAAAGCCCCTCTCCAGCTCTCCTGAAGCCCCTTTAGGCACTGGAAGGTGTCCAAGTACTTACCAATTTGCTAATGAAACTCTAATGAAACCTCTGTTTTCTTCCCAGGTCTGCAAAAGCGAGCAGTATAAAGGTTTTTCACATAGATGCAAATACCCCCCCACAAATCTGACAGAGAGATGTGCATGTGAAACCAGTGTAATTTTACACACCAAGAGAAAGCTGGGGGAAGATGCTCCTTAAAGCCAACACCTTTCAAGCTGATCCACGGACTGCTCAGAGGCAGAACCATGGCAGAGCCAAGCAAAGTAAGTCTGTTATCAAAAAGCTTAAAATAAACCTTGAAGCACCAAAAAAAGCCAAGTTTCAGTGTGATTCTAGTTAAGTTCAGTATAGTCTGAAGCATCTTCCCACTTAACAGGAAATCTTATCAGTTTGTTTATTTTACTTTGCTGCTACATTAAACAGTGACAGCTTCCCTTTAAATTTTAACTCAGGACATGTCAGAGGCACTGAAATGATCCTGAGCTGTCAGGAGATGTGAGACATGAATTCAAAACCTGCAGAGTCACGAATATGTCAAAATTAACGATGCTCACGTGTCCTTCTGCCAACACACACCGCTCCCTAAGCAAAGAGGGGACTTGGAGGCTCCTGTGGTGTCAATCCAAGCTAATTTCAGAAATATTTGGTGATGCTTCCTTTTGTAAGCATATGTGAGAGTTCTAACTCACTGAGTCTCTCCATATGGTACATTCCTGTTCTTCTACTATAAACAATCAGGGGGGGAATCAAAGTAAATTTGGAAATAAACAGCACTTCCAGGTTTCTCACAGCACTAAAACGAAAAATATTTCACTGCACCAGGAAAACTCCAGGACTTGGAACTGAAGGGCACAGATGCCAGTTTTCAGTAGCTTTTCCTCAGTGCTGCCTCCCTGTTAGTGAGAGGACACGGCTGCAGGCCCTGCTGCTGGGCTTTGTGCTCCTGGGAATCACCAGGAGAGACTGTCCATGAGTCAGATGTGGAAAACTGCTGTTTCACGGGTGTGAAGCTCCAGTTTTATGACTAAAGCCGCTCCCTGTTGCCTTCAGGCAGATCACAACCCCACATTGCTATATTTAGCAGGACTGTAATGAAAACTGCGAAGTCCAGTCACGTGTACTTCTGCCAGGATATCATCTGAATTTAAAAAAAAAATAGAAATATATAAATAAACCCATACCCTTTGTTCTTATGAGTCAGCAGTTACGGTAAATGAAAATACCTGCAGATGGGCACTGGCTACAGGGCAGGATGACACACATGTTGCACCACAGATCACCTGCATGTTGTATGTAAAACCAAGGCAGTTTTTGGTATAAAACCCCCAGAATTCAAGGATCTTGTATCAACATAAACATGGAATACACATGGCATAGTGCTGCCCTCTCCCCCTCAGTCCCCCAAACAGAGCAGCCTTAACAAACCCCCCCTTTTGAGCTGCATGTCTGTAGCCCAGTGGGTTCTTTCACTGAGGTGGAACCGGACAAGTATTAAAATCTATGCTACAGGATTAAATAAGATTTTATTGTCACATTTAACTGCTTTGTCAGAGATGTACATTTTGCAGGTTTCTGTACGGAATAAAAGTAAAAGACGGTGGTTGCCAACCTGTCAATCCTGATTCCAACAGTGACACGTTTATACCTGAGCCAGAGGCATAAACTCCAGAGCAAGGTCTCTGTCCCATGGACTGCAACACTCCAAAGCAAAACCCATCAAGTTAAGGCTAATGAGAACAATGTAAAATAGTTAAAACCAGAGCACTGGATGTTTAAAGGTGGAAACACTCGGTAGAAGAGTGGCAATTTTAACATCTCGTTTTTCCCAAAGTTATTTTGCTTAATTTGGTACGGGTCAGGGAGAAGGCAATGAACAGACTTTTGCCTACAGATCCGATCCAAAAGAATAAAATTTCAGTGTGTAAATCTGACAGATTTGAAATTTTTAAGCGACTGCTTTGCTGTTCTGGGTGTAAACCAAGGAAGTGGTTACTGACACCTCGAGTGATAAATGCTGCAGATAACCTCATCTTAAAATGTGTATTTTCTCATTTTTTAAAATCTCATATTGTGGCAAGAGACATATCTGGTAAGAAAATGAAATCATTTACACATCAGGGATAAAGTCCAATAATACAAACTTCTTAGTGGCACAATTTCACATATTTTGGGCAACGTTAGCATACAAGCAGTATTTAAATAAAAGTAAGTGCATCCAAACATGAAATTCTCTAAATATACCACACTTCATTTATCCCAAACGGCAGTTTTCTGACAAGAGCTGTAATTCAATTTAAAATAATCATTTACACGTTTCACCCAGAGGAAAAGAGGTAATAAACCCAGGGGACTCTCCAAACAATCTTCTGCTACCCTATCCCCCTATTTAATACATAAAAAACTCATCTAGAAGCGTAAATCCAATACTCAGATGCAAATAAAATGCAAGAAGCAGTCTCTGATGTTTGCAATTTGCAGACTCCAAAGTCCAATCATGATGGAATTTACTACTTCTGTCGGTCATTTACTCCTGCATGTGCACTTTGTATTTATACTAAAATAACCAATGAGACGATAAATGAGGCCAGTGTGGCATAAAGTCATTGTAAACCCAGTGAGACCAGAATAATTATATTTATGACATTCATTTGGATGATTTACCAGGCATCCCAACTCCCCCCCCCCAACCTTTACAGAAAAAAAGGCAACCATCAGTTGAAGTGAGACACATTCTGCTTGTAAAAAAGGTCGAACCAAAGCCCTCCTCTGATAAGAGCATGCCCACAGAAGAAGGTTGACCACATCTTTTCCAATCAGGCTTCTCAGAATTATCAAGATTTCTCTGCTTGCAAAGGCCAATTTGGCTTACCATCGAAAGCTATTTTGAAGGCGGCTGATATATTTATTCCCTTTCAAAAATTAAAATTCAAGGCATGATAGTGCAAGAGGTAAGTTTTGATTTGAGAACATTATCTGTAGACTAACTGTGCTTAGTTACTACATCCCAATTTATTGTCTTAAAGAAAATATGGCAACAAAAGCTACAAGATCTCTATAAATTTCATTTTGCCTAAATTTACCAGTACATCCATGAACCTCATCAGTATTAGTACAACTTGATTATCCTAATGATTCCATTATAAAACTTGCAAAATGTATCACAAGGTGAATAAACCATCTAGTGCAAGTCTTCTACATTTTGTGTGCACAGTAATCCTGTGTAGTTCATCTCCTCCAGGTTAAATCCCCAAAGTCTCTCGGTAACAATTATGAAAAAACAGTGTCAGGTGGATTCTTTTTCCCCCCCATCAAATCTGAGAAGTTTGAGTGTTCCTGGAATCACCATCGGGATGTGCTGGAGGCCGTGAATCCCTTGTCTGTGAGTATTCACTGTCAGAGGACTCTGTGGGTTCAAGCAAATTCTCATAATCACTGTCTTCTGATTCGTCAACGTTGTCACCGACCGCTCTTTGGGAAGATGGCATGGATGCTCCATTACCAGAATATTTCAATCCTGCATTTGTGGACACATAACTGGAAGAACCTACTGCTTGAGGCCGAGGCATGAAGACACTGCTGTCCAGGAGCCCGGGGCCGGCAGCACTGTCCTGGCTGGTTGCATTGAAATCGGAGTACGGAGGGGGAGGATCAGAGACATCCGAATCTTCCAGTGTGCAGCCTTCCACAGCAAACCCAGTGTAGGACATCCGGGGAACAAACATGGGTTCCAAGTTATCTGTTGGCATTTGCCTGCTTAAAATTGCTTGCTGCATTCCTACAAAACAAAGAACATGGGGGTACTTAATGCTTTCTTGGCAATGTGCTTCACGTACCCGAGCTGTGACCACCACACAGCGCCGTCCTCTCTGCTTTCTTTCTGGTTGTTATTAAATGTTCATCCCTGGCATTGCTTTCCAACTCCAGCACTTGATTTTGCCCTCTCAGTCTCCACTGCTCATCTTTCCTAATTCTGATTTTTGTCTTATATAGTCATCAATACACTATCCCTGACCATCACATCAAATCCTGCTTATTGCTACATCCTACTCTTGGAGCGTGACAAACTGCCCTAAATTTAGCAGTGCAGCCATGGAACTCATCAGTATCAGCACAACCCAATTATCCCAGTGATCACATTTCAAAAACAAAATGTGTCAGAAAGCAAATAAACTACCCAAGTGCAGGCGTGCTACGTTTTCATGTGCACAGTCATCCTGTACAGTTCATTTCCTCCAGTTTAAGCTCCCAAAAAGCACAGCTACAGGATGTTTCCACAGCCTGTTGCTGTTTCCACCTCATCTTTCCTCTGTATTTTTGTTCTCTCACATGCAAGAGCACAGTAACCTGTTAGGGCTCATCGTGGCTGCTCCTCTCCACCTGTGTCTTACTCAGTACTCAAAGCTCGACTCACTTTTCATCTGTGATAACTGATTTCTGATGTTCCATCTTAAAAATACCACTTTCTGCTTTCTCTTCCAATGCCCCTTGTGCTTGGGGGCAATCTCATGAACACCTGCAAAGAAATTACCTTGTTTTCTTCCCTCAAATTATTATTTTAAAATCTGTACTCTCATTAAAAACCTAAGTGATGGAATTATAGCTGCAGGTGTAACAGGGTTATCAGAACAGGAACATAAAAGTCATCTTAAATGAGATGATTTGGCAAATATTTTAAGGAAGACATGCACAGGAATAATGAACTGCAAAACCTTACAAAATAAGGAACAGTTGCAACCCTCTGCAGAAAAGAAACACTTGATCAAAGTCAACTATAAATATCAACATGCATGAAGTGTGTTCAGCTGTTGAGATACAGGTATGTATTATTTCACTGCAATGGTCAAGAATACAACTGGAATACACCTAATTTTGAATGCCACAGTTTAAAAAATAGGGAAAAACTGGAGAAACTCCAAGGAAAGGACTCTTTAGAGATCTAAAAATCATGAGCTAAGAGGAAAGGCTGCAATAACAGGGACAAGAAGGGAAGACTTGAGGAAACAGTTTCACTCTTCAAACGTGCCTATGAGGCTGCTATGAAAAGGTAAGTTATGTACATTAGACACAAGGAAAAACTTCCTGGCAGGAATGTTGTTAAGCACTGGGAGAGACTGAAGTTTTTGACTGGTTTCTAAATGGTTATTAACCTCCAGACACCTGTCAGAGCTGACACTGGGATAGGTAAAGTGACAGCCAAAATAGGATCAGCTCTACTTACTGTAACACCACATTTCTGGGAAAAACACAAATGAAGGGTGAACAGTTCCTTTCATCAAGTCAATGAGATGTCCCTTAGGAATAAAAGGTGCATATTCCCTCCAGTGGCTGTGTAACAGCACTCCATTTTTGGGCCACAATGTGAGAACTGCAGTGGGAGATTTGCTGCCACCTGGGAAGTGCACAGCACTCACCATAGCCTGGAACACGTTACGTGTACAAAACTACTTCACTGATCTGGCAAATAAAGTCTCAACTGACTTTTATGCTGCAGTGTAAAGTCACAGCCTGTTAACCAAAAGTTTGTAAGAATAACAAGCTTTCACACAACACTACTGCAGGAATTGAAATCAAATGCTCCCTCTTCCTCCAGCCCGGAGAATGATTAACTGGAATATTTAACTCAGTAAACACAAAGAAATTCTCCTGATATTTAGCAAGTCAGAGAACACAAGGCCAGATTCAGCATTTAACTACTCACATCTAAAAATATTGCAGGGTTACAAGCTCCATGTTTTCTTGTTTCAGCCCTCTCACATGATTATCTGCTCTGGGTGAATTCTCAGTCCAGCATTTGCATCTCACTGGTAGTACCTAGAGGCGAGCACAGGCTGCTCTTCCTCCTCCTCCCCCAGCTTTTCCATATAACTGGATCAGCTCCAGGCACACTAAATACCCACCTCTACTTCTCCATAGTAGCAGTTCCTTGCCTGCTTCATCTACAGCCAAGCAGGAAACAGCAGTGACTCATGCACTTCCATCTTTTAAATGGTCTGGAGCTAATCCTGGCTCTTTTACCTTATCTCTGGGGTTCAGAGGAAGGAGAACCTGGGCTGACAGATCAAACTGTGCTCTGAAATGCTCATGTGGTAACAGCACCTTGCTGTTTGGAGCAAATAAAAAATATCCACTCATGGCAGCAGCAGAGTTTAGGGTGTTCACCCACCTAAATCATCTTCCAGTGTCAGACACAGCTTTAGGTAACAGGACACACAAGTAATAAAAGCCATCTTGTAGCTAAAATGATGAAATTTGGTTATTTGCTTATCTCTTCAAATATAAAAAAAGAGGCAGTGTTTGCTGAAATATGTAATTGGCTTATGAATTACCTGGGTTTTAATCTTACTTCCCATTTGTCTATTTTCTCTGCTCCTACTCTCTACCTTCGGCCTTCCCTTGCACTCACAAATTAAATTGGGTCAGCAATGTCTCCTTGGAAAGGTCCGAGCTCTCCACAAAACTTATCTACTCCTAAACAAAAGTCTACTGAGGTGACACTCAATTTTTAGGCAGGAGGGACAGTGTGGCAACCAGGCAAATATGGTCACACAAGTCTCACTGATTCAGGAAATTATGGAGCAGCAAAAAGAGATGAACAAATACCTGAAAAGATTTAGTTCAACACTGAAAAGTGGTATTTCAATGCTAAACATGTTCACCACTAAGACAGGAAATGGGAGTGGGAATGGAGAGTGGGAAAGGGAATGAAGATTTTATAAAACCATGGATAGCTCCTGTTCTGTAAACACATTATCCTGTTTCTTTCCTGCAACAGGAGTCTCTCCAGTGTTTAGATTTGTTTCTTCCACTTTTCCTTTCCTACAGCTGATCTTTTCCTGTATTATTTCCAGAAGTGACTTTCACATTCTTTCTCTACAGTGTTGTCTCTCTCCTATATTTTAAGCTTGCTAGCACTGCATGACTCCAACAGAAATACCTGCAGTATTTCCCACACACTTTCACAGTTCAGGTGTCATGCAACGTAAATCCACCATACACACTTCCCAATGGGACTTTTTTCCCATGAGTTATCAGGAATAAAAAAAATTATTTTAACTCTACAAAACCTTTTGCACTTACAGCATCTGCTTCTGAAAAAAAAAAAGTAATTAAAAGGCAACTTACTTATTTCTTGTTCTTTTTCATTCTTCTTCTGTGCGATTTGCCTTTTTAACTTGTTCACATCAGCTTGAAAAGATTCAACAACACGTTCACTTTTTTCTACATCTATACATACTGCCTGGGAGAAAAACATAAGATATGCTAAGATTGTGCAAAAATACAGGAAATATTTCCATGACAACATTAATAAAGCTCCTACCAGACAGGAAGCCATTAAAAGCACAAAACTAAAAGTAGGACTTCACTGTATCAGAGTGTGATATTTAAGCTCAAGATCGTTTTCTTTACTGGCTGTTGCCAATTCCCAACTGCTGCATTACAGGAAAAGCATTTCCAAATAATTCATCATTACAGAAGATTTGTAATAAGATCCAAAGTTACTAAGTGTCCCATCCTGGAAGTGTTCAAGGCCAGGTTGGACAGGGCTTGGAGCAACCTGGAATAGTGTAAGGTGTCTCTACCCACAGCAGGGGGTGGAAGAAGATGATCATGAAGGTCCCTTCCAACCCAAACCATTCTGTGATTCAATGTATTGGTCATTATCATTACCCATGATCAGTTTTGAAGAGTACACAACCCTAAAAGCTGTTTCTTCTCCAAAAGGTGACTCTTAGTGGCCTTACCTGCAGAACTGAAAAACACGAACTATGCTTTCAATTCTGTATCTAATTTTTAGAAGTTTAATTGGGGAAATAATGCAAATATATGTCTAAGCTGCTTAACCAGAAAACTGATTTCCAGTCCTGTAACATTCTCTGTGAGACAGTCACTTCAAAGGTAAAAGTTCCTCAAGTCAGCCAACGCCAAAATTAGTTTTGAGCTCTGTAAACCTTGTACATGATTTATACAGTGACATACAACAGTTAAAATTCTAAAAGGTAGGAAGACAACTCCCTGGTGATCAGAGAATCGTGAAACTGTTAAGGCTGGAAAAGACGTTTAAAATCATCGAGACCATCGACCCAGCACCACCACCATGTTCACCTCCAAACCAAGGGCATCCACGTGTTTTTGAACAGTTCCAGGGATGGTGATTTCACCACTTCCCTGCACAGCTTGTGCCAACACCTTCCTGTGAAAAGATGCTTTCTAATATCCAGTCTGAACCTCCCCTGAAGCAGCTTGAGGCAGTTTCCTCTTGTCCTGTCCCTTGGTCCCTGGGAACAGAGCCTGATCCCCACCTGGCTCCAATCTCCTTTCAGGTGGTTGTAGAGAGCAATAAGGTCCCCCTGAGCCTCTTTTTCTCCAGGCTAAACAACCCCATTTCCATTTCCAGACCCAGTAATTCAAACAACAGCAGGAGCACAAAGGATATACGTGCTCTTGGCATAAGCAGTGTTACAAATAATGCCAGGAGCTAATGAAACAGAGCTCTGAAGATAAATTTTTCTACCCCTTGAAGTTTCCCTGTGTGTGCCTTACCCACCTTACAAGGCAGGCTGGGAAGCAGCAACTTCCCACTGAGAAAGAGCAGCTCCCCTGTGCAGGCAGGGCCAGGGGATGGTTGGAGGGATTGCTGCCTCGTTCCCTGCTCCACGAGCAGACCAGCAGAGCTGAGCTGGAGCAGAGACACAAATCCCCCCAGGGCAGATGCAGAGGGAAAGCCTGGGAACAAGCTGTGACTGCAGCACAATTAGCAGCTGTGTGAGCTCCTGGGGCAGCACAGCCACGCTGCTCTTCACACAGGACAAGCTGTGAACTGACAGGCACACATTGAGTAGATCTGACACTCCAGGCACTTTCAGATGCTTTGGCACATTTGGAGCAGGATTCACTCATGCTCCACACAAGTTTTAACTAACAGATGGAGCTCTGCTGATGTTTCATACCCAGAAGTCATTTTTAAACCTCTGCAAATCCCTACAGCCTTCAGCAAGGCTTCTCTTCAATGCATACTCTTAAAAATAACTAACACCTCCCAGAAATCCCTAAGTATTGAATCATTTACTTGAAAAAGAGAAAGAATTGATGATATTCATACCAACCACTTTTACAGACTGGAAGTGCACACATTAAATAGAAACGGACATATTTCATTATTAAAATCAGACTGATTTTCCTACAGTTCATGATAATTCTTCATGAGCTCTAAAAATCTCCATCCCCTTCACTCCTGGTTTAACCAAAGGATGAATAAAAGATGCCACAGACATACTGACCAACATGAAGTAAAGGATGTTACCTGTACTTTTTCCTGAAGTGCATTATAAACCTGATAGATAGCCCTGATGTCCTTCATCACTCCATCTTTGTCAAAAAAATCAGTACTAAAAAAAGGAAGCAAAGCAGAAATCATTAGTTAGAAAAGACAACACAGGTTCCTAGCTCATGCTGTCTTTGAGTTGCTGTTAAGCAGTCTATCTCTGTATTTCTAAAATGTATTTTATTGCTAAATATGCTATTTTAGCAACAGTATACTGCTAAAAACGTACAATACTGTCAAGATCCAGTTGGACAGCAGCATATTCAATACCAAAATTACTTCTGGAACAACAAAGTCTCATTTGAATGAGATTAAATTTATGCAGAAATCCTTAAGCTTGTATAATTTCATTGTTAACAGCCAGAAAAGCTACTTGGCATGTACAGCATGTAAGTAAAAATTCTTAAGAAAAACAACAAGATTTCCGAGTCAGAGTTCAAGTTTTAAATTAAGCTTGCACACGGAATTCCTTGGGGAGGTGGATGGTGGGTGGAAATCAAACCAGAAGCTTCCAGCCAGAAGGCTCAGAGCATGGACTGGCCACACCAACTCTGCTTTTCTGAGGAGTGCACCGAGTTCCCTGAAAGATTCAGTTTTAAGCAGGAAAAAAGCACAGTAAGAACTGACCATTCTTCTCCTGAACTAGTTTTTTTCTTTGTAGTATTCTTTGGGAGGTACAGAATGTGGAGCTGGATGACTAATTCATTTTAAAGGAAAAATCCTTACCCGTGTTCCTTGATAACTTTGGCATAATTTTGAGAAGTATTTGGCACTGAAGAAACTTTGTATTCCTGTTGACTAGTGTTGCCTAGATTAGGAATAGTAAGCGACACCCTTTGATTATACCTGTAGAGAAAGTTTAGAAAGACTTCTTAATTCATTTGCAAAAGATCCCTTACAATGGCCTTATATTATCCCAGCTCTCTGATGATCACAACTCTTCTCATTTTCAAGCTTCTGCATCAGGTTTGTTATAAAAGCTGCTAAATATTACAGGTTGTGTTCAAAATAAATGCAGGATCAAAAATTCCTACCTCCATACCTCTTAGGACCTTTGAAATGTGCACTTGAACTACCACAGACACATTCAGGTCCACTGTAAGAAACATGGTACTGACATCTGATATCTCTCAAAATATATTTTTTGTTTGTTTGATGACTTAAAGTCTGAAAAGAATTTTTGCTCACCCCAACTTTAATTCATAACTTATTTGCACAGGGAAAAAAGCTGCCATCACTAACAAGTGGTGGCTTGTTACACTAACAAGTGTACCCCAGGACATTATTAGACAAACATATAATTTACATATAATTGTACAAACTTTTAAATAGTTTGAAGAATAGCAGTTAGAAGCAAAAAATGAGGCTTGGCTCATATACAGAGATGGCTTACCTTCTGTTTGGTCTAAAAAGCACATATTCTAAAGCATGTGTTGAGTTATTTGCAGTGGAAATGAAGCTGAAGAGAAGGAAGACAAGATCAGGCACTCCAAGGATGTGTGTCAGCTGTTTATGAATGATGTGCTCTCTATATGACATTTGCTGCTGCGTGTTTCTCCTAAACCTGTACCATCCAATAACGTTCTGCAATCAAAGTACATCAGAAAAGTGTTAACTCAGGGACACACGTTTACCTCCTGAGAATAAAGTTGCTAAAATTGTGGTAACACAATTAGCCAAAAGCTTTATTACAACAAAACAAACTGAATTCCTGGAGATTTGCACCTATTAAAAGAATAAAATTCCTAGAGATTTGTACCTTTGCACCAAAACAAGTGTAGCATCCTGTTACAACACGACTGTCAACTATAAAACAATATAACTCCCATGTTAAATAAAAGAACAGGAAGCTTTGGTTTTAACTTTTTTTAGATTAAATATTAAATTATTTAGCCTGAATGTAATAAAGCCTGCTTAGTTTGCTAATAAAAGAGAATACAAGACTGTCTTTATTCCCAGACAGCAGTATTTCTTTCTTTTTTGACATTATGACAATTAATGTCATTAAATCTGTGATACTGTAGTCACATGACACTTCAAGTTTTATTTTCTCTGGTTTTGCCCACTTTCCCCCCACAGATTATGCACCTTGCCAGTCTCCCTGTAAGGCAGATCCTAAAAAAATAACATTCCAGTGAAAACTAGTGGGAGACAAACATTTTTAAATTATGCTTTTTGCCTCATCTCCTGAGGGGGAACTTAGTATCCTCTGTAATGTTCTAGAGTAGAGTTATAGGGTCACAGAATTCAGGATTCAATACTGGAAACTCACTCCACCACTTCACTACATAAGGGACCACACCTTCAGCTCCGCTCTTTGATGTATCAGTTCATGAGAACCTCTGAAACAACTCTTGGATAATTAGAAAAGGTTTGAGTCTTCTCCAAAGAACCAATAAAATTTAATCTTCTAAATACTGGTTGTGCTACTAACAACCATGATTTAGAGCTGTGACAATATCTGTAAACATCTATAAGCTGTGATATAACTGATGGAAGAGTTTGTTCAGTTTAAAACTGACAGTGCAAAAATTGGAATTACAAGGCTAAATCGCTACAATACCTTCAAATGAACTCTTTCAAACAGATTTTCAGATCAACTGCATTTTTGGTGGGTTCAGCAGCAAAGTACACAATCATTATGCCACATTTTTAGCTCAGAAATCTGAGTGGGTTAATACAGCCTTTCACTTTTGGAGACCTACACTTAAATCCTTCACATTTCTTCAGGGAAATTAGACATTGCCCCCAGTTTAACCTAAGCACCACAAATCCACCAACTTCTGTACAGGATAAGCCCTGGATCAAAACAAACCATCAGATTTATGAAAGAAAATATTTCTCCTAGTTAATTACCTTTTTGTGTTCATTTGTTTTCCAAACCCAGTCTTTCTAATGACCAGAACAGGAGGAAAAGAGAGAAAACTTACTTTTCTTCGGTCTTTAAGGATCCTGTCCAAACTCTCCTCGTTAACCTTGCCTGCATAATCATAAAAGCTGGAACCAAACAGGAAGAGAGAAAGGCAGATACACAGTTTACACACATATATTATACATAAAGTAAATTATTTACACTTTGAACATTTTTCAAATGTTCAAATAGGTGGCATTCTATACAATACAAAGCAATTTCCAGAGTTTTACCTTTATCAACATAAATGCACTGTTTTAATCATTAAAACCCTGCCTAAAAGAAAGGGAAGCAGGGCTATTTTACATGCAACTTCAAACCAGTTTCTTGAGCTCCAGTCCTGCAATTAGATTCACGTGGTTGGACCCTAGAAGCCAAAAGAGGCCACAATAATCCAAAGCATCATGGTCTTTCCATATGGCTCTGCTTCCAGAACTGAGGCTCAAATCCTGACATGTCGTTATTTTGAGGGCACAACAGATTTAAGCATTTATACACCTACCTACACACACAGGTTTAGAAATTTAAGTAGATCACACTGCATGATAAAAGGAGAAACATTTGAAAATAGATTGCTCCCTGCCTTACCTGCCAAGTCCTTGGTCTCTTTCAAGAGCTGGTATCACTAACACCTCAAGCAGTGCAGGAAAACACTCTGGTTTAGAGGTGTGTGATCTCAGCTCTTATGTGGGGGTGTAAAAAACACAACAGAAAATCCTGAGCTCTGTACTTGGCTGGTAAATAAGGGTGGAAATACCATTTGCTTCAAGATGCAAGTTGTAGTGAAAATTCAGACTACAACTAATTACTAATTTGAGATACGTATTATTTGCATAATCTTTTCAGTTCATGTTCACAGTATTTATTTATGCATTCTGGTAAGTAGCAGCTATGCAATTCTTTCTCCTTCTGTGCTTTATAAGAGTAATTTTTCTATAGGATGAGCAACTGGTATGTAGTGAAAGACATCCATCTGAAAACTCCACAGACAGAGAAATCAGTCTTTTGAAAATCCTTGCTTCTCATTCAGTACCAGCACTGGAACCAAGGCTGTCATACCCAACATCAGCAGTGCCAGCTTACAAGAACACAGTGGATGAGCAATAGGCCTCACATTGGCTACAATTAAGTCAAAAGGACAAGGCAGAAAAAGCCCAAATCAGCATGTGCTACAATCAGTGGAGCAGAACAACCAGCAGCACACTCTGGTACTGATAAAAAGTGCATGAGCTGCGAGAGCTTCCCTTGTGCTCTGCAGTGAGTGGATTCACCGTTTTCCTGTGCAGCAGCACACAGGGGATACTTCTCCCCTCCCTCCATCAGCTCAGGCACTAACAACCCATTCCTTGACTGGGGGGAAGCAGGGAACGTGATCCGTTTGGATATGCGCTGCACAAAGCGTCCCTGGGATCCAGGAAGAGCCTCCCAGACACTGGGATATTATCTCCATGTGTGGAGTCTGCAGCATTTAAATCACTGCCTTCAGAGTACCCTCTCTGTAATTATCAACCAGCAAGTGACTGACTGCAGCTTTTCTCTTAATGCAACCACTGTCAATCATAATATCTAAGCTACTGTGTCTTCTTAATTGGCTGGAAATCTCCAAATAAAGACAGGAGGAGATTAATTGGGAATTCCTTCTAAAAAGGAATTCTAGACAGCGGTTTAGAAGCCATCACTGTATTAACAAGTGAAGACTACAGAGAAAATCTACATGTAAATAGATGGGAGCTGTTAAATAGAATACATTAGACCCATATTTAATTTAAATTCTGGAGTTCAGAAGATCAGAAGGCAAAAATCACTAGAAAGCTGAAAGATTCAGAATAATTAGTTGGTGCAGGTCAGTACAACTAACCACAAAACAACTTGGTAACCCCACAGGGTACAAGGGTTAGGGCACCAGGGTGTGCTGTGACCCACCAGGCCCAGGCAGAGCCAACCTAAAACTGCAATAATTTCAATTGATTTTGACATCCATCCTCATTATCAGTGGTATGATTTGAACTGACTCCTATTCTACCTCCACCAGCTACCCAAGATGGAAATTCAAGGAGACAGAGAAATAAGCCCCTTCCAACCTAAGGTAAGTGCTACTAAAACTGTGATCTCATAATTTCATTGTCATGGTTGGTGCCATTTCCATGGATTTCTATAATACCATCAGATGAGCAAACACTGGTGGGGACATTTGAAATGCTAATACATTGCAGTGAGCTCCCTATTTTTATATTCTGCATCCAACACAGGAAGACAACAAAAAAAGCTTACCTAAAGAGTTTTGAACAAGGCTCATGGTTATGGATTTCTGCAACAACAAAGAAAAAAAAAGAGACATATGTCCAGCTGCTTAAGGCAAAGGGAAATTACAGTGGCATATCTTGCATGAACTTTCCACATCACAGCTACTGAGCAAACAAACATTTGTGTCAGACCACACACTGCCCTTAATGTCTCAGCAACACTTGATGACACAGCACCATACCCAGAAAACTGGCTTCTCTTTATAATCTGACATTTTACAGAGGGAAATATTTTAATAAGACACACACTTGCTCAGATACACAGAGATATAGGAACCTCAAATACACACAATAATATTTTAATACTATAGTTGTAACCTCCTCCCAAAAGCATTTTTTCTCTTGGATATCCATTTCCACAACGCTTTACTTGCATTCACAGACACTTTGTTACAGCAGCAATGAAGAAAAAGGGGAAGGCAATCACTGTAATGTTATACACAGGAGTGTTTCAAGAGGCAAGGCAAACAGTCTATAATGAGAAAAGGGGTTCAAACCCATTTCAAAACACTTAGCTGCAATTTGTAATTCTGTTCTATGAGATCTTAAAAACTCAGAGCAGCATTTTTTCACTGAAAAGGTTGCAATAAATGCTAATGTGCTTATTTAAGGAACAAAGGTTGTAACATGGCAGTAATCTCAGAGATGAGTCAGAAAAGAGTAAAAATCCAATCCCCATTATCTCTCCAACACCAAACATGAGTTATTTTTTCAGGTGCTTGGAGCAACCTGGTCTAGTGGAAGGTGCCCCTGCCCATGGCAGGGGGTTGGAATGAGATGGGCTTTAAGGTCCCTTCCAACCCAAACCATTCTGTGTCTGTGATTCTATGATGACGTAGCACTAATATTTCCAGCTCCCACAGCAGAACCCCACTGGAGTGTTTAGCAACAACTTTGTTCAGACTCTTCCTTCCTGGAGGGTGACACACCACCTGCTGCTCAGGGCTGCCATCTCAGCAGAGTCACGCTGGGATCACACTTCCCAGGAACAGCAGACTGCACACATTAACATCCCAGCATATTTAGTGTCTATCAAAACAAGGCCCAGAGCATCCATTCCAGGCCCACTGCCCAAGAAACTGTACATCCTCACTAGCAAGAACTCCTCAGGATGCTGCTGTGAGAGCTGCTTTCTTAGGAATTGTATAGAATTGTATCAACTCCAGTATTTTTGCACCATCATGCAGGAAACAATCTGCTAACAAAGCCAGTAAGTGCAATTATTGAAGCTTAGGCCGGTGTTTTCCAGGAAATATATTGACTGCAACAACATACTTGATCCTTGGGTTATGGTATTGCCACACAGACCTTGTGTTTTGAAAAACAGGAAGCAACAAGCCTCCTGCTCAGACCACATGCAGCAGCCAACATTCTAAATTTAAGGCTTACACATTGGCTTATTTATAGATATAGCATGCATACTGTATATACACACATATATACTCAAACATCACCACTGATCTTACAGATAAAAGAAGTTAAAACTCATCTGTGACAACAGTGCCACAAAACTGTCAATCCCCTGAGCTGAACTGGGAGTTCAAGAGTCAATGTTCACAAATAAATATTGAAGTAAAAGTCTGGTAAACAAACAAACAAAAAAAATCCAGAAGGTCCTCCGGGGTGGGTAATTTCCATTTTCATAAAGTAACTGTAACTAATAATGTGACAAAGGAGTGATCTAAAAAGGGAGTGATTTTTAACACCACAAACACTTGGTTTAGGAAACCAGGCCAAGGGTGCAGCTGGTGACATCACTGCCAACAATAACCAGGATCAGTGACCACTGCAGAGCAGTGTCTGCTTTAGAAACTTCGAAAAGTGACTGGCTCTGTCAGTTTAGTCTGAACACCCAGAGCTATCAGCTGCTTCCCTCAGACAGTGCTCTGATAGTGATTATATGCACACACAAAAAATGCTATGCCTTTACTTTCTGTAATTTAGCTCAACTAACTAATTAATTAATTGACACTTCAGACAATTTACCACCCTTGATCTCTTAGGAATAACCAGAACAGGAAACTACTCAACCTTCTGGATTGCTGTGCACACAACCATCATCACTTCAGATCATCAGTTCTGTGTCAAAAAACAACTGAGAGTCAATCCAAAGATGTTTGTGTGTTACCTGAGCTTTATGCAGACCCTGCTTTGTTATCTGGGATCAGATTCACAAAGCCAGGTATGGACACATTTGGGTTTTTAGGAAGGTTTAGATATATTTTAACATCTGGTTATATATACAGAAACAAAAAGGCCTTTTCTTTCAGGGCTTTCCTACTTTCTACAAACCAAAGAGCTAAAAACATGCAACAGTTTCTCACTCATGTATGAAAAATCTAATTCAACTAACACTTAACAGCAAGAGCTTCAATCTTCTTTCACTTTTCACACAGATCAGCTGTAGAGTCCTTGTGCCAGTCAAACAAATTGTCTGACAAATATTTCTTGTCCAGTCTTGCTGTGACAGTTTATGATGTTGCCAGCTCCCAGCTGTCCATCCAAACCCTCTGCTGAAAATCTGCCCCTTTCCAGTCTTAGTAAATCAAGCAATGAATTCATTTCACTTTGAGCACATGCTGTATTTAGGCAACTGTATCGAGAAACTCTCTGCAGGACCAACAGCTAAGTAAGTAATTTCTCCATCATGAAATGCAGATAAATGTCTCCAATAAACAATCTTTTCTTTACACAAGAAGACGCACAAAAACCCTGTAACTAGCAAAGGTTTGCTTCCTTTCCTCACAACCACAAACACATAGACACTGTGGCAAATATGATACACCCTGTGGTGGTCTCACAAGTGAAGTGATTCTTAATGAAATTTTGTCCTGAGAACTTAAAACCTGAGCAGTGCCAATCTCAGAATGTCTCAAAGTTATATCACTTACCAATCACTTGTAGAAATTCAGTGTTGCTGATCTGTGAATCACTAATGCTAAAGGTCTCTTCTTGCCTCACCTCTCCCAGCAGAAATCCTTCCTACAATTTAAAAGGAAAATAAAAGGACTAAAAATGGAAAGAAATCCACTGCATACAGTCATTTACTGTAACTTTCTTAGCCCTTAAGTTGAATCAAAGATTTAGTTTGAAGCACACATCTGAGCTGCAGTGGGTACAACCTGCCCTGAGGTTCACCAAGGCTGATTTTCTGCTTTGCCAACATCCTTTCACAACACTGCAGGGATGGCTTGTCCAAAAATAACATTCTACACACAACTTACACAAGGGAAACACGTTATAGAAGGGAGGGCTCTGCCCCAGCCCCAAAGGGACGAGAAGGAGGCCTGAGCACGAGGCTGCTTTGCTCCTGCAAATCCAAGGGAAGTGGAGGTTACACCTGCAGAGCCTTACTCAAATTTCTGTGTGGAGACTGGGCTGGACCCTGAACATCAACAGGGATTATAAAACCCAGATGTTAATTTAAAGGTAAAATAAAGTAATTTATTCTCCATCCCTACCCAAAACGAGGAAGGAGACTGAGCAGGAATTGTGTGGTTTTGGCACAAGCACCGAGATGGTGGTGCAGAGCAAAAGAGCAAGCTCAGCCTAAAATCATGCCAACAAAACCGTGGGATTCGGGAACACCCCAGCTCTGCGCTGGTCAGTCGAGGCTGCGGGAAACCCACCCACGGAGCTTCTACACACGTGTTCCCTGCCTGCAACCCCAGTCCCGCGGGAGCCCCGCCGGGAACATCCCGGGGGGAGCACTCCGAGCACCCCACATCCCAGGGAACACCCCTAGCATCCCACATCCCGGGGGGCAGAATCCCGGACACCCCACATCCCGCCCGGGCACCCCGCATCCCACAGGGAAGAACCCCGGACACCCCATATCCCGGGGGGAGGTCAGCAGGCTCCCCGCATCCTTTGGGGAGCAGCCCCCTGACACTCCACATCCCGCAGAAAGCATCCAGGGCACCCCACATCCCCAGGAGCAGCCCGGGCACTCCACATCCCGAACACCTCACATCCCAGACTCCCCACATCCCGGGGAGCAGCCAAGACACTCTACATCCTGCCCAGGCATCCCACATTCTGGGGGGAGCAGCCCGGGCACCCCACAGCTCGCCTGGACACCCCACATCCCGTCTGGGCATCCCACATCTCGCGGGGAGCACTCCGAGCACCCCGCATCCCAGGAAACAGCCCTGCCATCCCACATCCCGAGGGGAGAATGCCGGACATCCCAAATCCCGCCCAGGCACTGCACATCCCACCCGGATACCCCACATCCCGGGTATCCCACATCCCGCACGGGGGGAACAGACCGGACACCCCACATCCCGCCGGGATACCCCACATCCCTCCCGGACATCCCACATCTCGCCCCGCCGCGCCCGTGTGGGGCCGCCCCCGCCCGCTGTGACCCGCGGCCGGGCCGCACGGTCGGCGGTGCGGCCCGCTAGCCCCGCAGCGCGGGCGCCGCTCGGTGTGCGGTGCCGGGGTGTCCCCGCGGCCCCGGGCTGGCGGCGCGGGGCACGTACGTGGTCGGCGCTGCTGTTGGCGCTGCAGTAGCACACGGAGCTGAAGGTGTAGCCGGAGATGGACGCCGCCATGACGGACACACCGCCGCCGACGCCACGGCGCACGCGCGCCGCCGCGCACGGCCGCTTCCGGCGGCGCCGCGGGGCATCACGGGCAGTGTAGGCCCGAGGGGCGACGGAGGCCCAGGAGTTGGGGCGGGTATGGAACTGCGAGTCAGGAATGATTGGGTTTGGAACACACTCATGGGAAGGAATTCTTCCCTGTGAGGGTGGGGAGGCCCTGGCACAGGTTGCCCAGAGAAGCTGTGGCTGCCCCATCCCTGGAAGTGTCTAAGGCCAGGTTGGACGGGGCTTGGAGCAAACTGGGCTAGTGGAAGGTGTCCCTGCCCGTGGCAGGAGGTGGAACTGGATGGGCTTTAATGTCCCTTCCAACCCAAACCATTCCATGATTCCATGACACACACACTGTACCAGGAGGCGACTCTGCAGCGGTGCCGTTCATCACTCCTATTTTTTACTTAAAACACTTCGCGGAAAAAAAAAAAAAAGTCTTGTAAAAGCAGCCACGTTTCTGAAATTTGAAATTAATAAATATTGAAAAGCATAAACCCGTCCCAGGACGGTCTGGATTGCAAGGGACCTCAAAGATCATTTACGTCCACCCCCCTGCCACGGGCAGGGACACCTTCCACTATCCCACGTCGCTCCAAGCGCCGTCCAGCCTGGCCTCGGACACTCCCGGGGATGGGATTTGAGGGGGTCGCACCGCGCACACCCCGCAGGGGTCACACAAACCCCCCGATTCGGGGCGGGCCGATCCCCCCTCGCAGCGGCACCACCGAGCGGCTCCGCCCGCCCAGAGCGTCCCCGCGCTCCGCCCGCCCCGCTCGGCGGTTCCGAGCATGGCGGGGCCCGCGGAGCAGCCCTTCGTGCCCTCGGTGCTGGGCACCCGGGAGCAGTGAGTGCCGGGGCAGGGACGGGCATGGGAGCCAGGCGTGAGCCCCACGGGCGGGGCGGGGCGCGGAGCGACCCCGCGCTGTGGGAGGTGTCCCTGCCCGCGGCGGGGGGAGCTGCAATAAGGGAGCGTCCAGGTCCCTTCCGGCGCGAACCGTTCTGTGCTTCGTGTATTATTTTATTTATACAATCCGTAATTATGTAAAGTGGCGCTGATACATGGAAACAGCCTTCTCGCCCTTTCGTAAAGTCATGGAATGGTTTGGGTTGTGGAAGGGACCCTTAAGACCATCTCGTTCCTCCCCCTGCCATGGGCAGGGACACCTTCCATATATCCCAGTTTGCTCCAAACCCCGTCCAACCTGGTCTTGGACACTTCCAGGGGTGAGACAGCCAAAGCTTCTCTGCAAAATCCATTCCAGCCCCTCACCACCCTCACAGGGAAGAATTCCTTCCCCACATCCTCTGCTCTCTGGCACTGGGAAGCACTTATCCTGTCCCTCCATCCCTTATCCAAAGTCCCTCTCCAGTTCTCTTGGAGGCCCTTTAGATACTGAGAGGGGCTCTCAGGTCTCCCTGGAGCCTTCTCTTCTCCAGGTGAACACTCCAAGCTCTCCCAGCCTGGCTCCAGAGCAGAGGGGCTCCAGCCCTCGGAGCATCCCTGTGGCCTCCTCTGGACTTGCTCCCACAGTTTAATGTTCTTCCTGTGCTGGGGAGCAGTATCTCACCACCTTCACAGTAAAGGATTTCTTCCTAATATCTAGCCTAAATTTCCCCTCTTTCACTTTTTCTTCCCCTCACTCTTTAAGTATTTCCCAGTATTAACTGCAATATCCTCTCTTTTCTTCCTCCCCTACTCCAGCTGGGATGCTGCATATGAGAGAGAACTGCAAACTTTTCAAGACATTGGAGATGCCGGGGAAATCTGGTAAATAAAATAACTCCTACTGAGTGTTTCTGTTGTTTCTTGATCAAAACAGACATTGCAGAAACACAGTCAGCAATCCCGTGGGTTGCTGACAAAAGGATGGGGAGTTTTAACATTGAAGCCACCAGTTCCTCTCTTGCTCAGTTTTGCAAAGCAGGTTTCTCAGTTGCACTTGGACAAAGTGTCATGACACAGAAATTGAGCTGGTAGTTGAGGTGTACATCACTAAAAAATTTACTTTTTATCCCTGAGCTCAGGTTTAACTACACAAGCTGCCCTTGCTGCTCCCTTTTTTAATATGTGGGTGATATCACCTCCCAGAGTTGGGTTTTCAGTGAATCTTAAGGCCATGGGATTAATTTTATTTTGAGAAGAGCAAACATGAACTGTGAGCTGTGGCAGTTGTTACTTCAGTAACACTAAGAGGGGCTTTGCAAAAGCTGGAGGGAGCGAGTGATGACATAAATTTCCTGTACCTTACGTAGATTTTTTTGCTGTTTTAATTCCCTGTGCCCTCGTTTTACACAGGTTTGGAGAGGAAAGCGTGGTGCGCATCATCAGGTGGCTGGAAAAACACGGCGTCCCCCTGGACAGCTCTGTGCTCGACATTGGAACTGGGAACGGTGTTTTACTGGTTGAATTGGTTGGTGTATTGCAAAGTTTGTGTATTTTTTATACAGAATCAGAGCTCCAAACGGAGCAGTTAAAATCCAGTTCTCACAAGTGACAGTAATAATCCTGGTGAGCTGTGGGCTGTGTGAAAGACACAGAGAGTCAATGCTTCAGGTTCCAAAATTTACTTTATTTGAGCATCCCTTATTTTAACTTTACCTTTGTTTCCCTACACTTAAAACTGCATTTCTTCCCATTGTTGTGTAAACTCCTCCAGAGAAGGGAATTAAGTTGATTAATGCACGAAGTACCCTCATGTGCAAAAGCAGACCCTTTGTCTGCATTCAGTTCTGGTAATAAAACTCATTATTGATGTGAAAAAGTGGGTCAAACCAAGGGCTTCTAGGTAAATTACTTACAAAGTAACACTACTTTTCAAGAAGTGTCCATTTCTGTCAGAGTGAAAACTCTGGTCAGATATGTTCTGAGGTGTTACAATGTTGTTTTACAGTGATACAAGATATTTAGGAGTTCCAGTATTTTTTTCCTGGTTTTAATTGATTTTTTTGTGTGTGATACTGCAGGGCAGTTGGTAAAGGAAGGGACTGTCATACTTGCACAGCTTCTATTGTTCTGCATTCTCCATTGACTCCATTAGTTACTGTAGGAATTGAAAGGGCTGGAAGTCAAAGTCAGGTTTGTAATGGAAATTTTTTCAACATGGTCATTGATTTTAGAACACTTTAAAGCCTTTATGGGGACTGGCTGCTACACCACAGCACAGGGGAAGTTATGTCATCAAAAACAGAAACAGCCCATCTCATTAAGGGAAATTAGCCTAATAATGATGATTATTAAGTGCAATACTAGCCAGCTCTATCATCATTGAAATATCCAACAGAAGTTTTATAGTGACCCCACTTACAAATAGGAAACTGATTTTCATACTGTAATGGGAAAATGACAGCCTGATAGCTTTTAAAAACTATTAAACTGCTGTAAAAGCACCCTCTTTCCTTACATTAAGCACCTCAGAGTGCTGTGGTTGCTTTTGTAGGGGAATTTTCAGTCCAGTTCTCATTTGAAAAGTGACTTCAAAAATTATATTGTTTAGTTTTGCTAAATAATTCAGGATCTCACTTGCTTAGTTCATTTAAAAGACTTTTTTTTTTGTTAATGTGTTAGCTGCCAGGCTTTGAAAATCAGATTGAGATTCTTTTGAAAATGAAGTTGGGATTCTTTTGGCAAGAACAGCAGCTACTGTAGGACTGTTCTACCACTGGAGCTGGACTCCATAATGGGATAGAAATGGCAATACTGGAAAAGACTCTGCCATGGAAGATATTAGTAGCACCTCTCTAAAAGGGAACTACTTGAGACTACCTAAGTACCACATAAATAGGAGCCCTTTTTATATGTGAAGTAGACCATGGTCCTACCCCTGTTAACTTCAAGGATGTGATAGGCTGGATTGAAGACATAATTCTTTCGCCTCTTCTAAGGAAATGTTGCTGCCACACAAAGCTCTGATCTTCTCTTATTTTTATGAGCATTGTGGCAGCCAACAGTATTGAAAATATTGAAAAGCTTCTCTGGAGCGAAGGATGTTCGCCCACGTTGGGATGTCTGTCTGGCAGCAGCAGAGGCCCAAGCACAGGGCAGAGCTGATACCATTGCAAACTACCTTCTGCTCTTTAACCTGCCTCTCCAAGAAGCATCAGAAGAGTGCCATAAATACCACCTTCAGGGCAGGAGTCCAGCTGCAGGATGGCACGTGAGGGAAGGATCCCTTCCTGTCACAGTCAGGCCCTACAGGTTTAGCAGCATTTAGTGTTGTTTATCTCTAACCTTTCCTTCTCTGCCCTGGAGACTATAGGAGTGAATGGGAACTCCCTGCAGTGACTCAAGCCCTTCCTTTCCAAACAGAGGAGCTGTTGTGGGAACTACTCTTCCACCCCCAAGCCTTCAGCACAGGCATCTGAGGAAGCCTGCTTTGCTCTGGGGAGGAACGTGGGCAGGAGCCTGAGCAATAAGCTGTTCTCCATCACATGCAAACAACACTGTCTTTGTGTTGAGCTGCTGCTCAGTTCAGAACAGCTGGTTAGCACTGAGCTCACAGGCCTGAGGGGCTGCTGGAAGGAGGAAGGACTGTTGTGAAAACTCCTCATAGTTTTCCTCGCTGTTGAGGTGTCAGCCTTTGGAACAAGTAGACACGCAGCTGGTTGCTTAATGCCAGTTAAGGTCCATGTGTTTTTCCATATTAAAAGAAAGGAAAGCCTCCTCCCTCTCTGTGCTGTGACAGCCTGCAGCTGGCCATAGGATTGGAGCTCTTGCTGTTAGGTTTGGGTTTAGACAGGCCGACTCACACACGTGATGTCCTGAGCTGGTCCCTTCAGCTTCTACCTCGGAGTGCAGAGATGTGTCCCTGTTCCCCTCCCACGTGCCCAGCTCCACCTGGGTGCCCACCTGCTTTGCCAAAGGGTTGCTGGGACCTCACTGCCCGAGTTCCCTGAGCTGGGTTATCGTTATCTCCTCCAAACTTAGATTAACAAAGTCTCCGTATGCTCTTTTATGTGATGCATAACCTGCCTGAAAATTGCTGATACAGAGACCTTGCAGCATGCAAATAGTTGTATTCAAATAGGCATTTAGCATGAATAATTAGAGAAATGTATGATTTTGCAGTGGATTTGTGTAGTAGTGTAATGTATTACGTGGTTTGGCTCTTACAGTTTGGGTTATAAACCAAATAATTGCTCAATCTCAAATGTTATGTGTCAGAGAGTATTTTTTTCCTCATTTTGAAGCATCTGGCATTGTCACATGTTCTCATCACTGAAAATTCCTGTTTTCTAGCTTACTTTTGGTGCAGATAAGAGAGCCTGTTCCCCTCCAGGGTGTTACTTTTCACAGTTCTGCTCAGTTTTCCACTTGACATAAACCAGCTTTCAGTCAGCAGTTCTTTTGGTGAGGTATTTAGGCAGAGTGGACTTACTTCAATTCATTCCTCAAGCTACTTAGCTCTTGTAAAGGTAACAGGTATAAAAATGAGTAAAAGCTGGGTTGTTTTTTTCCTGTCAGTAAGAGGAGGAGAGATGAGATGGATTATAGATAGGGAGTATACTCCCTGGATAAAAAAATCACTAGTGCACTAATTAAGATTCTCTGATTCTGTCTAGGCAAAGTCTGGCTACGTGAATCTCACAGGGATTGACTACTCTCCTTCTGCAATACAGCTTTCAGAAAAAGTAAGGGAGAAAGAAGGGATGTCTAACATTAAATTAAAGGTAAGTCTTGAGAGAAAGTTTACTGAGGAAATAGAGAGTAATTGAACCCGAGATTAAATGACCTAATTGATATTCAGACGTGCTCGGGGTACTAAACAAATGATGTCTTTTGACATTCATTTGTGAAAGAACTCTAACCTAATAAATCTCTGTTTACAAGAAGGGTTTTGGTCTTTATTTTTGTTTTCTGTTTGTAGCAGTCATTAGGGCTAACAAGATTTCCCTGCTTGGAGCAGGAGCAGAAGAGTGGCTCACCCTTTGGGAGTTCTATATTTTAGCTGCCACATTCTGAATTTCAGATTTGAGATAGAGGAAGAAATCCTTAAATGATAGATCCCTATCAGCAGCTGTGCAGCAGGTAGTTTGAGAGCCCTTGCTGGAGCAGGGGTAGGACCAGATGACCTCCAGAGGTCCCTTCCAGCCTCAGCCATCCCATGATTCTGTGACTGCCTGTAATTCTGAGCTCTCTGTCTGCTGTGCTGTTTTATTCTCCAGCTCTGTACCTGCGTGATGGTTCTGTTCTTGTGTCAGTTGTAAAATCTCTTTGTGGCAGGCACTGTCTGTTCTTCTGCATTTGTGCAGTGCCAGGCACGTGCCAGGGATCAAAGTACAAATTATGATTTATAGACTGAACTCCAAGTGTGTTAGTTTGAGCTTTAGATTACAGCAAATAGATCATCACATAACACACAGAGAAGAAAGGAGCTTCCATAGCATTGAAAAGGCTGTGAGTTACCCCTTCCCAAGCACACCTATTGTCAGGTTTGAAACGTTGTATTTTAAAGTCTTGCTTCGCATTAAAGTTTCAGGAGCTGCTGAGCAGAAGATTGCTTTCACAGCTGTAGACTTCTGGTTTAGGTGGAAGACTTCCTGGCCCCATCAGCTGAACTGTCAGGCTTTGACATTTGTATTGACAAGGGGACTTTTGATGCCATAAGCCTCAATCCCGACGACGCGGCGGGGAAGCAGCAGCAGTACGTGAGATCCCTGTGCAGGGTGTTGAAACCACAGGGCTTTTTCCTCATCACGTCTTGCAACTGGACCAAGGAGGAGCTGCTGAACGAGTTCAGAGAAGGTAAGCAGCTGAACAGAACCCTCTGCCAGCTGAGGGTTGTTGAAGGATGGGATGAGTGAATTTTAATGTCCGTGTTAGCATATTGACTTTCCCAGATCAGGATTAGAGAAGGTAAAGAGATTAGTAAACGCTTCGGCCTGTCTTCCCTCTGTTTTCCTCTGGAATTGCATCTCCTGTGCTTGCCAGTGCCAAGGTGCCACGGGAGGACGGGTTCTGTTACACTTTGGAGGTTGGGGCTCTCAGTGTAATTACACTGGGAAAATGTGTACCCAGATGATACTTTTTTTCTTTGAGTCCTTTATACCATACCGAAGTCACCCTTCTGATTGCTTTGGGATTGGGGTAACGTTGTTACCCATGTTTAGAGGAACTGGCGAGTCTGTGACCTTTTGTGTCACCTCCTCAGCTGCTCTTCTGATCCATCGTAGAGTTTTTTTACGTGCCAGTCACCTCCTGAGTCTCCTGCCTGAGACTTGAAACTCAGTGTGGATCTGAAACAACCATCCCTTGTGAGGAACTGAAATTACTGGCAAGTTCTCATCTTTTCTGCCATTAATTTGTGCGAGTCAGCCAGCTGAGGTTTTTATTATCCATGGAAGAGGTTCAGCTGTATAAAGCAGTGGTGCAGTGCAACGATACAATCCTATAAACTCACAGATTAACTGACTTGCAAGTTTTCCAGACAAATAAAGAATGGTTTGCAAAGGGTTATCCAAGAGGCGAATAAAACGACTTCCTTCTAATAAAAGCATTTTAATTTCTGTCTGGCAGGATTTGAAATTCTGGAGGAGCTGCCAACACCCAAGTTTTGCTTTGGAGGAAGAATTGGAAACAGTGTAACAGCATTGGTTTTCCAAAGGAAAAAAACGAGGCCATCCATCTTGGACAAATTAGATTAGATGAGAAAAGTCTGAACTTTAAACCTGACAGAAAACCTCAGACACGTGTGTAAATAAATGCTTTTTGAGTGCACAGTAAAATACTCTGTATGGAACTCTAAGGGGCTATAAAACATTGCCCTAGAAACATTTCAGCTTTGCATAACTTGCCCATAAATTTTGTCCTTGCTACAACCTCACTTGTTTTAGGGAAACTGCATGTTTGGGAGTGAGAGGGAAATAAGACATTCTACATACAGGTAACAAATCTAACTGAATGATGTTTGTGTTTGGAACATAAAGGTTATCTGGTATTTAATTTTAGCATTGGTAATCAGTGACCAATAGAGGCAAAGGTATTCTACAAAGCAAAAATCTCATTTCTCTGTTGTGCATTTGAATAGGGAACAAGCTTTTGCTATGCAAGTGCTTTAATATTAATTAAATTTCATATTAATTAAGGCACTTATATTAATATGTATTAATATTAATTAATTAAAACCCTTAATTTTTTTTCTTTGGTGAACGTGAATGTAGCTGTTAAGGAGGGAAATTAATACAAAAACCACAGCACTTGCAAAAAAACGTCTAGTCAGTGCTTTAAATGCAGATTTTCAGAGGTTCTCATGCTCAGCGTGGTTCTGTCTCCACTGAAGTAGCTCAGCCTTTTTCCCACAGAGGGAGTGTCTTTGAAGTCTCGCTTGCCTGAGTGTGTTCATGCCTGGTCAGTTATTTTCCCTGGTCTCATAAATACATAAAGGTGGGATGTTACAGTCTTGCATTCTCACTGGTGAGTGACATGTGCCTCCTTCATGATTAATTTTCTGTATAGTAATGTCTTAAGAGCCACAATGACCTTAGCTTTTCTGGTGAATTTCTCAGGACAGATTTTAGCTGCATAAATCCAAGATAATTCAAAGCATAACTATCCATTCCTTGTTCATCTTTTTTAATATAATTTTTAAACTTCTGTGTGTGATCTTTTTGCCTAATTTCTTTGCCTTTATTTCTTCTGCTGTTTTGTATTCTCTGAATATTAGTGTTGCTTGAAAGGCAGGAAGATGAGATTTCTTCATCCCTTGACAAACCCATTCGCAGGTGACAATAAACTTGTTCTTTCAAAAATCAAGGAGGCCCTGTTGGGCAATCAGGTTTTGTTTCACAGGCAAGGTCATGTTTGCTTATCAGGGAATTGCTTCTCCTAATTTCCACAGTTCTCCTCGTTCCCAGGGTTCAGGAGATCTTTAAGGGTCAGTAAATGCATCTAGTCCTTTCCCAGGACAGGAATTAAGGCATTATTTGCACAGTGGTGAGTCCTCCCTCTGTGATCCAATTGTCAATATCCTCAAGGTAGGAATCCCAATTCCACATCTTTTTGCAAAATGGGATATATTCCATTGGAAGAATGGTTTATCAGCAGTGGTGAGCAGATGTAGTCCCTGTGAACAGTTCTTTGCATATTTGGTCAGGCCTGAGTTCCTAACTCAAATGCCAAAACCAAGGGCTTGTTACCATTTGGGTAACTATTGTAGTCCTGTGTGCTGTCTCTGCCCAGCAGCCAACTGGAATGATAGGAAATGTAACAGGGAATCCAGACAGAGGGGGTTTTTTGGTACAAAAGATTCAAAGTACACTCCTGATAACACCCTCAATAAAAAGCCTGTGACATTTTTGTAGCTGATTTGGCATCAGGTAGAGCTAATGCAAGGAAATTTTAATTGTCAAGGACTCTGGCAGGATGTGTTTAGGGCATCTGTTTTATTCCCATCTGTAATTTTTGCTAATGAAGGCATGATGTGTGTTTAATCATGGAATGAAAATAAAATCCTGGCTGTCTCGGATTTTCTTTTAATCAATAAGTTGGAATCTGACCATTGATTCACACTCCATAAGATATGTAAAGTTAAGGGCAAGTATTGTTTTTCCTCTTCATAGGATTGATTATTACTTTTTCTTCTCCAGGTAGTGTTTTTATACAATTCGTAAAGCAAAAAATAAGCTTCCTAAAATTGCTTGAAACTAAGGATTTCTGCATCTCATCTGTAGTTTGCATATTCCTTCTCAGGCCCAAGCACTCTCAGGTCTCACTGGAGAGTAGAAAAATGCTTGTAAAACATGTTTTAGGAGATTTATTTTAAGGCAACAATTACCAAAGACTTACTCCTTAAAATCTGCTCTGTTGGAAACCTGTGTTTTGTGGATAATGGAGTCTAGGTAGCAGCTCAAATAGGGACTTAAGCAGTGAGGGTTTTTTTGGCTACTAGGATTTGGAAATGACATGTCCTTGATTTGGGGCAGTTCATCTTGCCAGGAGGTTCTTGATGGAGGCGTGATCTCTAAATGTTGATGCATTTCAGTGAAAAAACAGCTGAAAAAGAGGCAGAGGAATAAGCAGTGGGTTAGGAGGGGTGAATATTTGCTGGAGGTTTGGCAAGTGCTTCATGATGGTTCCTGAAGGCTGGAATCTTCATGACTACACAGCTGTGTGACTCTTGGTTTCAGCTGCAACGCCGGACTACGGGAGAATAAATGCAGCATTTAAAACGCATTTTCCTCCTATTGTTTCGCTATCTGAAAACTCTGTATGTGATTTCACTGTCAAATATGAGGTTTGTGGGTAGTAAAACTAACATCTGCCATGGATCTCGGAGGTGGTTGAGCCCACAGGCTTTTCCTGCAGGACCGAGTTTAGGCTGGATGACGCTGCGGAACTGGCAAACCTTTCTGATGGAGTTTTGCATAAAACGTGGGCAGAACAGAGAGGGTTTGTGTTCCCTTGTTCATTGAGAGTGTGCTGAAGGATGGAATGCTCTCAGGACTGACCTTTTATTCCAGAGAGATGGGAGATGGCTTTTAGTGCCTAAGCTCAAAGAAGCAGCACCTCCACCAACATCTGTGCTTGGTGCAGCTCAGACATCTGATACCCAGCTCCTACTGCCTAGCAAACTGTTCAGGGATTTCTCTTTTGAGGTATTTGCTGGGAGAGGCCATTGTATTTGTTGTTGGGCTTGTACTACTGAAAGAGCTTGGAGCATTTTACCCTGGAATTTTATGGGGTGTGTCACGAAAGTGAATTGTCAGCATGAAATACCTGAGAGAGGTGACCAAGCCATATTAATGAAATAATTACTGATCTGAGATGTCTGATCTAAGAGAATTTCTACACATGGGACTCTGCTAGAGTGTGAAGTAAATGGATTCTCGAGACAAAAGCCTTTGCCTTTTCAGCATCACAGTACTTTCTTGAAGTAAATACTCTTCTAATCATGTTTATACAAATTAAGGAGTGAGAAATGCCAGACTTGAAAATTGTGACACAACTCAATGAACAGAGAAAATTCAGATGGAAGGTTAATATTCCCTTACTCCTTGACTTCCCTTTTGGTGACCAGCTTGTAATTTATAAGAGAGGATGTTCATTTAACGGTCCTTAAGGAGCAGGAACAGTCCTAGAATGCCAGAATGGTTCGGGTAGGAAGGGACCTTCAAGACCATCTCGTTCTAATCCTCTGCCATGGCCAGACACACCTTCCACTATTCCAGGTTGTTCCAAACCTTGTGCAGCCTGGCCTGCAGTCCTATTCGTCAACTGTTTTGTAAATGGGGGTTTTTTGTTGAGTTTTTTTGAGGCTTATGAGATATAGAATATTGTGTTCTTGAAACTAAGTATAATTTTGTGATGTAACATGAAGAATTTCTGAGAGCTACATTTCTTCTTCTTTAAGAGCTGTTGGGTTACATCAGAAACACCAACAGAATTATGGCAGCTGCTTTTGCAGACAGGGCCAGCAATGATGAAGCAAGTAATTACAGGCTCTCTGTCCCATCAGGAGAATATTTCTTAAAATCATTATTGAGAGCATCAGATTGAAATAACTGTTTGCATGATGGGCTCACCTTCTCAAATTTAAATCTGGTGTTGCAACACCATTTCTGAGATCTGGGAATAGCCAGCTGCCTTGATTGTATCGTAGGATTTGGGGTACTTAACACCTACAGCAAAAGGAGGCTCAGCTTTTTTTTTTTTTACTTTGTACTTTTCTAAAAAGGAGCCTTCAGGTATTTGGGATTTTAAACCTGCTGTTGCTGTTTACAGGAGAGCTCATTAGACCTGAGCAAAGAAGTGCATGTCCCACCACACAGGTCTCAGGTGTCAGTCTCTGGAGAGAAAACAATGCTCTCTCATAGCATTTACATCGAAATTATTTCAGTTCTGCAGACATTTCTGGTGCAGACTCTGACATCTGCGAGCCTGAATGGGCAAACAAGGGGATGAACAGCAATCCCTCCCTTAGAACGACTGGGTTTGTAGCCAGGTGTGTGGGGTGAAGCCAAGTGTGCAAGGAAGAACAGATAGATACTTGGGAAGCTCCAAAGCTGAGCTGACACAGCTTCTTTGGAGTTCTTTTATGCCAGGACGAGTTCTTGAATAGCTTTTCTGGTACATTAGGCACAGCATGCTTTTCTCCATCACTGACACTGGCTTCCATGTATTTCCACATTCCAGGAATGCACTGGCAGCACTGAAGCCATTGTAAGGAAAATCTGCATGTATATGTACTCTGCTATGTCTGTTCTACTGTGTTCCAGGGCGCCTGGTATAAGGCTGCCAAATTTTATGTTATTTCATACCAGACAAAATCTTTAAGTGTGGTATTTAGCAACATACAGCAAAATTTTCAGTGTTTTGGCACTGGGATTGCTTTCCTGATCTTGGCATGCCGAAAGGTAAAGAACACAGCTTGCTACAACAATAACTGCTCTATTTTATAGGCCCTCTAAGCATTTTAACGGATCGAATCGTCTCCTGTAAAATATGTGGAGAGCACTTAAGAAATAATTGGACCAGGGCTCTGCATTGCCATACGGAGCTCTGCCTTTGCATTCCCGTTGCTCCCTGCCTTTTCTGGGATAAGAGGAGGGGGAGACTGCCCTTCACAGTGTTACCTGATCCAGGGATGAAGGGGTGCTACGGATGCCTTGGAGGGGATGGCTCTCTCCTGTGCCTTGGCTGGAAGTACATTGAGCATGACCCAACCCTTGTGGGTAGCAGCAAAATTGAGGAGCAATTAATGGCTACCAAGGGCTTTCAGTGAAAGGGGATGAGGTGTTATAGCCTCGAGACAAAGGAGGAAAAGGAACGCTGGCGTGTTTTGTTTAACACAAGCAAGGGAAAAGCCGACCTGCGGCTTAATTTCAATTTGTTAGGGAACAGTATAGCTTGAAATGAGCCCATTTTTATGTTACTGGAAATTAAACTGAGTGCTGTCAGGCAAACCAATTGCTGCCAGGTAGCATTATAAATCCTGGATAATCACAAATGCATAAGCCCATGCTGGAGAGCCAGAGCTAATAAACACCAGTGAGGGAGCAGAAACAAACCTCAGCACAGTCCCTGCAGCAGCCAGGTATTCATGGACAGCATCACATGTCAAGCTGAGGTGGGAAGAGTGTGCATACAGTGAGAAATCTGAACTGCTGGTGGGGTCGAGAACTGAGATTTGAGCAGAAGGATCTAGGCTCTTTCACGCCAATTTGTGGTGTTAATTAGCCTCTCCGGCTACTCCTGAACTCCATGGGTGCTTATCCAAGGTAGGGTGCTGCTTTGGGGCATGTCTGCAGCTGCCTTGAGCTTTGTGAATGATGGACAAGTAACTCTGGGCTTATCTTAAGCCAATGCAGACACAAACATGGTTGACAAAGTGATAAGCACATTCAGGCAAGAGAGAGGTTCACACATGTCTTTCATGGTCTGTTTATTTTATCCATCAGCTGTTTCCATTGCACCTTCTGTGGGACAGCCCGGAGCTCAGCAGTCATGCCCTCTGACAGGTGGGAAGGGAGGCAGCAAACACAAAGCTGTTGCATGTGCAGCAAATAACCTGACATCAAATAGGATTTTTAACTTTGGTGGAAATCCCATTGTATGTCAAATGTAATTAGAACTGCACTCCTCATTACAAACCTCTGCACAGCAGTGGTTCAGTTGTTTAGGTATCAGGTCTCAGTTGGTATCAGTTGTTTAGCAATTCAGTACTTTCTGACCCAGAGCACATCGATCATATTATGGAGATGTGTTTGTTCTCCGGGTGTGAAATACTTGTTAAAAAGTACTTGTGCTTGCTGTTATTTAGATTTTGTGAGTTTCAGGAGTTCCCCTGTGGCCTCTGAAGTTGATCTCCTTTTTGTGCTCTTGGAGACCTTTGGTGGAGCCAAGATGTCCCTGTGAGTACATGGTACCCAGCACAGCTGGATGGCTGGGACATCATCTGACTGGGACACTCCGACTTTCTGGCCTTGGGCAAGTCCCTTACCTGTATTCCTTGTCTAGCAGGAGAGGCAGAAGGATAAACCCACAAATAACTGGGATTGCTCCAGTGCTTAGGACAGTGCAGAGTTGTAGGTCATGGTGAAAGGGACACTTCTGAAATTATTAGTAAACTTGGTTAAATATGACTCAAATAACAACGAACTGGAGCAGACAGTGAAGCATTGGAAAGGCTACATGGAAAGCAGGCTGCAATCCTGTGAGCTGGCAGTGAAGGAAATGATGTTTATCCACAGGGCTTAGCATCGCTACGTCGACATGTCTAAATGACTTGGACCCCAGAATCATTTCAGAAGGACCGTGGAGATCATTAGATTTTTCCCTATCCACAGTTTCCATCTCCCATCAGGAAGGCTCCTAGTCAGTGGGTAACAAAAGTGCTGACATCCAAGACAAAAACACAAATTAAATCAGCTCAAGAGTTGAACTGAATGATTTTTCTGTCCACGACAACTAAACTCTCTTGGCCAGTTTTTTAAAGCTTGAAAATTATTTCTGTCTTTTCCCCTTCTGACAAAATCTTCTGCACTGCCCAGAGCAGGGAGCTATGGGCAGTCTTTACATTTCAACAACATTACTGCAAATAATATCTGTGGAAAACAGGTTTGTGCTTCAGCAATAGGCTTTCACGTGTGCTGGGAATGCTCTACAGCCAGCTCATCTGTTGGATGAGAGGCAGAAAATGCTGGGTTTGGAGCGAGCTGCAGGAGCAGACAGAAAGCAACTTTCTGCTTGAGTCTTGGAGCCCAAGGCTGCCACGGGAATGGATTCAATTACACTCTGAGCTTTATTGCTGAAATATTCCACTGGGAAGCCATAAAAAAACATTTTCAAACTTGATTCCCTAAGTTCTGGAAAAGGAGTTAGCAAGTGTTTTATTGCTACCAGCCTCAACACGTGATAAGAAAAGCAAATACTGAGTGGGATGGAGGAGCTTGATGCAAAAGCCCCTTCACATCATCAAACCCTTCTCCCTGTTTGTCGCCCACTCAAACCAGCCACTCCTAATTTTATGTGTACTGAGTACGGAGCCACTTTTGTTGAGATCAGTCCTCGCTGTGTTGGTGGGAGCTGCTCCCTCGTTAAATTTCCACCCGCTGCTTCTGCTTACTTACCTCTTTCTTCTTAATTACATTAAACACTAACTGATAGTCTTCCTCAACAGTTATTTGGTGTCCTGGGCTGTGCAGCAGCAAGGCAGGACACCCAGAGCACTGCTGAGTTACCCAGCCAGAGCCTCCCTTGCTGTTCCTGCCCTTACTTGTCCCCACATGCCATCCCCAGCGGTGTGCCCGGCCATCCAGGCGGGCGGATGAAATTCAGCCCCAGATTCATTCCTGATGACATCTGTGTTGTCTACTCACATATGTTTAAGATTAATGTTTAGGCTCTGTTTTGTAATGAGTTCTAAATCTTCCTTTTAGCTGTCATGTAGTTTCCTTGTTCGCTAATTACGCCCGCCCTCGGGAGGAGCCCACGTGCTGTGTGCGGTGGAGCTTGGGTGGATGGAAAATGTTATTGTCAGAGCACATCGCTCCTAAAGGCCATCTCCCACGTGAGACCAAGCAGATGTGCCTCTGGATGCTGCTGGAGGACCCATGGCCACCTTCACTCCTGCAGTATTTTGCTCAGCTTGTTCTGTCAAATCACAACCCCCTCCCAAAATACACGCTGGAAAAAAATTCCTGCTGAGAAGACTTGGGGGTGCTGGTGAATGAGAGGCTGGACATGACCTGGCATGAAAGGTTGTGCAGCCCAGAGAGACAACTGTGACCTGGGCTTCATCACAGGCAGCAAGTCAAGGGAGATGATTCTTCTCCCCTATTCCACTCTGGCGAGCCCTCACCCTGTAGTAGTGCAACCAGCTCCGGGGTTTCCAGCACAGGAAGGACATGGACCTGTAGGAGTGAGTCCAGAGGAGGTCACAGAGCTGCTCTGAGGGCTGGAGCACTTCTGCTATGGAGACAGGCTGGGAGAGCTGGAGTTGTTCAGGCTGGAAAAGAAAGGGCTCCAGGGATACCATAGAGCCCCTTCCAGTGTCTAAAGTGGCTCCAAGAAAGTTGGAGAGGGACTTTGGGCAAGGATCTGGAGTGACAGAACAAGGGGGAATGACCCCAAACTGAAAAACAGTAGGTTTAGGCTGGTTATTGGGAAGGAATTCTTGGCTGTGAGGGTGGGGAGGCCCTGGCACAGGCTGCCCAGAGAAGCTGTGGCTGCTGCATCCCTGGAAGTTTTCAAGGTCAGGTTGGATGGGGCTTGGAGCAACCTGGGCTAGTGGAAGGTGTCCCTGCCCATGGCAGGGGGGCAGAACTAGATCGTCTTTAAAGGTCCCTTCCAACCCAAACCATTCCATTATTCTATGAAAAATGGAGAAAAATTAAGGAGTGGGATTTTTTTTACTGAATCCCACCCATGGGTGCAGCGGTGGATGGTGAGTACCTGTGATGTGCCAAAACTTCAGCGCTACTTCCCATTGCGGGGACCGGACCTTTCCTTTCGTGGCTGATGGAGCCCAGCTCTTCTTCACCTCCTCCTCCTCCCCGGGCCGGCCGTGCCACCAGGAGTCACTCTCGGCCTCCGAACGAGCCGCGGAGCCCCACGCGAGCCGCACCCGCGGCATCCCGGCTGCGGGGCCGGGTGCGGGCAGTGATGCCGCGGGAGCGCTGCCAGCGCCAGCCAGGGGACCCCGTCGGGCAGAGCCTGATGGCCGCACGGAATCCCCCTTTTTTATCATTTTTGGACTTTTTCCTCCCCCCACACGCTCTTTCCGGCCATGTTTAACCCCTGGGATGTCCGTTCGGGGCGGCAGCCGGGGGGGTCTCCCCCGCCTTCCCTCGCACCGAGCGCTCCGGTGCGCGGGTCCCCGGGGCGGGCGCTCCGCAGGTGCGGGCCGGGCTCTGACCGCGCTGGCTCCGCTCAGGAAGTGACAAGAGCATTTCCTCCTCCTCCTCCTCCTCCTCCTCCTCCTCCTCCTCGCCGCTCCCTCCCTCCGCCCGCCCCGCCCGCAGCAAGGCGGCGGCGGCGGCGGCAGCGGAGCGCGGTCGGAGCGGCGCCCAGAGCCGGCCCGGCCGGGCCGCGCCGCCGCCACCACGGGAAGCGCCCGGTAAGCGATGTCCGGAGCCGAGCGGGGTCGTGCCGTCCCTGGGGGGTGTCGGGGAGGGGGTGGACAAAGGGCGACGGTGCGCCCTGCCCGGCCCGGGGCGGCACGAAGGGGATGGGGGGAGGATGGTGGTACCCCCCGCCGCTGCCGCATCCCCGCGGAGCGGGCTGGGGGATGTCCACCTTTGTGCCGTCAGGTCTCGCCCGCGCCGCGGTGAGCGGAGGGCACCGCGGAGAAGCCGCCTGGGCGCCCGGAGGGAGCGCGGGGCAGTGGGGTGTGTGCCCGGAGCGGCGGGGCGGTGCGGGATGCTGAGCCCCGGCCGCCCGCCCGACGTGCGGGCAAGGGCGGCTCTCCGGAGTTCGGCGTGCGGGGAGCGAGCGCTTCTCTTCCCATCGGATTCCTCTGCCTTTGCCACTGGAATTTCTTCCTGCAAGCGAATCAACACGTGCTTTCCTTTCTCTGGGCCGAGAGTGATGTTTAAGGGGGTTGAAACTCGGATGCCGAGTCTCGAGTTCTCACGGGGGGCTGCAGACCAGAGGAGCCGTTGTTGAGCATCCCTGCAGGGATGCTCTCCCAGGGTAATCGCACACTCTTCCCACTGTGCCACGCTTCAGATTTCATTCTGGTACGTGCGAGGTGGCTCCCGGCAGCAAGGGAGAGGGACAGACCTGCCCCCCGGGTGGGGGGTCTGGAGCATCCAAGTCCGCTGCGGTGGGACACGGCAGCTCCTTACTGTGTGAAGTGTCCTGGCAGTGGAGTTGTCCTAGAAAGTCCCTAAGTCTTGTTTCTCCATTCGGTGATGTCAGATAGTTCAGGTTCTGCGGTACGTGAAGGTTTCGCGTACAGCTGGATGCAAAGATTTCATGAATAAGGGTTTTTTCCTCAATAATTTTAATTTACTTGACACAGACTGAGTTTGTAGCAGCACGGTGCCTGTCACTGAGCAGTGCCACTGCCTCTCAGTGCCGTGCAGTCTCCACAGACGCTGGTGTACCTTGGCAGCTCATCCCCTCCTTAGGAAATCCTCTGGAGTAAAAAGTAAGCGTAATTTGTTATGAAATAGGCTGATAGACGAAACTTCAGTTCGCGATTGAAACCAGATGTGCATATTTTCCTTTTGAATCCTCAAGCAATAACGAAAGTCTATTTTGACAGATTAAAAACTACTTGCAAATTGCAGAGGTAGCAGTGCCTTGTGATAATCCAGTAAAAACACAGAGTGCTATGAGCATCTCTGCCCCGGGTCGGGTATCTCTGAGCACAGCAGATGCTGCTGAAATCACAAAGCCCAGATTCCCTTGGCCTGCCTCTGACGTGGGCAGAAATGTTTACCAGAGCTTGACTGAGGGCTAGAAAAAGAAATAAAGAAACCCCAAAACAATGTAGATAATGTTTCTAGGGAAAATATTTGGGGTGGGTCATGAAACAGATTAATTAGTGTGATAGTAAAAAACCTGAATTTCAGAGCAGCTTGTTCTGTCCTTACCTGTTGCGGCTCAATGCAGGTTTGAAGAGAGTTTCTGATTTATTTCTTCTTTTCTGAAAGTCCTCGTGAGCCTGAGAATGCTTGCAGTGGTGGGTGTGCTACACCCAGCTCTGGCACGGCCGAGTTCAGGGGTGCAGGATTAGGGCTGTTCACCCCGTGCTGGAGGCACTTTACTGGGAGAAGGATGCAGCCTCCTGGCTTTCACAAACTGGGGGGGGGGAAACCCAGCCAGAACAACCTGCAGTGGAATTGCTTCCTTCCGTCCTCTTCAGAGGAGAGGAGGATGCCCCGCCGAGCACGGACACAGGGAGCACGGCCACGCGTGCTGGTGGTTTTGCAGCTGAATCCCTGTCTCCAGACTTTCTCACTTCCAGCTTAAACCCAGAGGAGGGAGGGAAACTTTTGAGACTTCCAGCTCTCCGCAGGGCCAAGGTGTCCAGGAACCACATTGGTTATAGAAAGCAGATGGCCTTTTGCTGCAAATGCAAGACTTAGCATAGAAAATCTGGGCAAATCAGATAATTGATTTGTGTGAGTGAGATCCAGATTTTTGTATATGGAGATCAGGCAGACTGTGGGACAGAGCCAGCACCAGTGTAGGCTCATTTTCAGGTATGGATACCTGCATAAATATATGCATATGCATAAATATGCACACATGCAAATAGGCAAGCATATACCAATATAAATCCCCAAATATGCTTTGGTTAATTATATGCAATTAATATTTTTTCTAGTATCAAATGCTTGCTTTATTTTTACCAAAAGTACAGGTAGAACGAGACATACAGCTTTTTGCCAGAACACCTGTGTTTCTGTGCAGAACAGGCACCATGGGCTGTGTCCTGATGGGATGGGGAGGGGGATGAGTTTTATGCAATTTGTCAATTTATTATTTCTGGTTAAATTCTGATTTCTCAAATGGCAGCTGTGTGCTCTGAGACTGTGGTTCCTTCTTTCTTTCTTATGATATTGCATAGAGTTTTTCTTGATCATTGTTGGGATGGAGGCAGTTTGTACTTGCCTTGTAAAATCTCAGATGGAAAAGGGGACACCCCAAGTTGAAAGGGTGATTTTGGTTTTGTTCCCTTCCCCCTCCTGTATCACATGGTTTGTCAAGTGATGTTGCTGGGAAATATTCCTAATGAACATTAATCTGTGGCAGAGCAGACTTTGGACCAACTTTGGGCTGGGACAGGGCAAGGTGCCAGAGATGCTCAGAGCTCTTTGGAGAGCTCAGGCTGGAGAGGCTGAGTCTCCTTGCCATGTCCCAGGGGAGAGAGAGGGCAAGCAGAGCCTTGGTGTCAGGTCTACACTCTTTCCTAGAGTGCAAATACCTTCAGAAAGACAGGCTTTATTCCCGTGGCTATGGGGGACCAGGCTAGCAGAGGAGTTGGGATGTTGCTTCTCTGTAGCTCCTCAATCAAGTTCTCTTCTTGGCTGACTTTTTCTGCTCCTTTCTCCCCCAAAACGGGGAGGAGGAGGAAGAGGAAGCAAGCCTGCTGACTCGGGGAAACAGAACTAAAAAAAAGAAGGTCTGACGAGTGGCAGAGGGCTGCGACTGCCACTCTGTGACTGCCGTCAGTCTCACGTGCCCGCCCGGAGCGGGCGGTGAGGGCTGTGCCCGGCAGCCGCGGCTCGCCTTGCAGGGGTCCCCGCGGGGCTGTGCAAAAACACCACCGAAACAGCAGCTCCTCCAGCACGTCTGCTCCCCGGAGAGCTAAATATAAACTCATCAGCGAAGAGGAGGGAATTTTCCACCGTGCTACTCATCTGTGCCCACTGGGTCATGAAGCCTGGGGAAGCCCCTCTCCCTGCGTCTGCTCCTTGTTCCCTGCCAACCCAGCATGTGCCACCACTCTCTATTGGGATGACACCTTCCATAAATTCCTTGAAAGCAGTCGGGGCACTGGCAGACCTGAGCCCTGGAGCTCTGGTTCTGCACACAAGCCTCCCTGTGAGAAGTGGCCGTGCTTTAACTCTGAAAAAGGACTTTTCCAAGGTCATACTCCACACCCACAGTTGCAGCCTGGCTGCCCACGACCCAGCTATTTCTGTAGAGCAGCAATGCAGAACGTGGCTCTGGTACAGTGAACCAGAGAGCAGATCCGTGGACTGTTTTGTTTTTCCAAACTTTTCTGAGTTGGCTCTCTGTAGAGAGACAAAAATTCCCTAACAAGAGCCTGTTTCTAAAACATCACCAGGCTGGTGTGTCTCTGCTAGTACAGGCTGTGGATGTGTGAGTCTTTAGTGATCAACAGGTGAAGTAGGGATTGAAAAGTAAGAAGCATCATCATGCAGTTAATTTACAACCAGAATTTCTCCTGGCTTCAGGTGGTTGATCCATGAGTTTTGAGGCCTATGGGATTTGATACATTGGATGTGTGAGATACCACATCTTGCGGATGTGACATATGCTATGTAAGATAAATCAGATGTTAGAAGTTTCTTTGAAATGCACAAAGGAGCAAACTGCATTATACTGACCTGGAGGAGCACCAAACCCTGTGTGAAGCATGGATGATCCCCAATACTGCAGGCTGTGGGTCCCTGCATGGGTGGGTGGGAGGTACCAGGTGAATTTGGCTCAGTAATCACTTCATTTGAGTAATATTTCAAGAACTGGTTGAGTGAGTGCAAAAACTCTGTTCTGGTGCATTGAGTTTCTATACCTCCCCCCTAAAAATGTACCCAAGGGAGACCTGGTCATGGTTTTTTGCTTTTAGAGGATTAAATATAGCAGCAGCATTGGTGTCACTCCTCTGTAGTCCATTTGAAGCATCCCTTGGGCTACATCATTCCCTATACTTGTGGCTCCTGGCCATAGGTTTTGCTTTCAGCAGCCAGAGCTCAGGGCTTGCGCTGTGCGGTAGGTATGGGACCGTAGTGAAAGAGGAGTTTTACTTTGTGGCTGTTTTGTGCTTATATATCATTACATCTCCAAGGGTTTGTAAAAAACGGGATCTGGCAAGCTTTGATCCGGCAGCTGGAAAACCTGCTCTCCCTCTCTCTGCTCAAAACCAGCCCTCGAAAGGAAGGACCAGAAATCCTCTGGATGGCAGAGGAGAAGCGAGGTTTGGGGAGGTGGTGGTACAGAGGATGCGGCTCTCAAGGTGCATCAGCAGCTTGCTTTGGTCTCAGAGACTGGTCTGGACTGGGGGAGTTGAGAGACACCCCTCACCTTGCTCCTAAATCCAAGGGGATGAGTTAAAGCTTGTTATGCACTTACTTGTATTTAAGAATTTTCTTTTCTTGTGCTTTTTCCTTCCTGTTCCTCTGCCTCAGTTGCCCCAGTTGAACAAGTGCTGCCGTCACTATTCTGCACCACTGGGAAATGTTAGGGAAGGAAAATGGCATTAAGGCAGACAAGGGGTCTTGCCTGGTCAGGACAGCTTGGCAGCACAGTTAGGCCAGGTGATGGGGGCCATTTCTCATTTCAAATGATGTGGGAAAGTCACAATAATGGTGAGTTTTGTGTTTCTGGGCTTGTCCTAATCTTACTGAAAACTTTCAGCCT